CAGCGTTCAATTTGATGAAAAATTATCAAGTAACAGAGAAATGTTTCAGATATTTATGCCGATTAAATTGTCCCATCATCTGCTAATTTCAACCAAATAACTCACTTAAAAAATCATCTCGCTAAAAGATTTTAATCTATGAGGAAAAAGTTATTTGAGCATGTATCATATCAGATCTGATGTTGGATCTTTAGTGTTAAAAGCGTTCAATTTGATGACCTATTCTCAAAAGAGTGAAAGAAATACCGAAACTCCACTTAGTTTTAATTTTTTGTGTATCTACATATCTATTAAATTTATTATTTTGTTATGGAAGTGTGTTATATATATATAGTGGATTTCTAATACTGTAACTCGACTTAAATTTATTATTTTCATTCATCGTGAACTACTAATATTAATTCAATTATGAGAAGGTGGGGGTAACAGTAACATTAGAAAAAAAAGAAGCTTATGGACCATAATATTATTCATTTTGAAAGTTCTAAAGTATTTTATGATCGAAATAAATAATCTTCTTAGAACTAGAATCCTATTCAAATATAAAAATTTACTCAGAATTAACTCAATTAAGTTTCACATTTGCAGCACAATTTCTAATGCTAAGAATCCTCGAGAGAGACAATGGCAGAACAAACTTTTATTATTGTTCAAATTGTTGGATTATCACGACTGTTAAAACTAACATCGGTATTTTGGAATCCAATGAGAAACTAAGAAAATTTAGAAACTCACGATTTAAGGAACTCAAGATTTTATTTATGATTTTTCGATGTCCTTATAATGAAGGAGAAAAAAAGTATTGTAGCATAACTTTTTCAAATTTTAGGTTCAGAGGATTACGATGTCGATAAGGAGTAAAGATTGAATTAAAAAGAATTTATGCTTTTCTTTTTTGTAAGAACATCAAGAAGAGAAAACGCGTGCGACATTTAATGCCTAAAGTCTTATAACAAAGACATTTGTTATAATATATATATATATATATCCTCGTTTATAACAAAGACATATGTTAAAATAATAGACTTTTTTTTTTTTTTAAAATAAACTTGATGGAGAGATTTTTAAAAAAAAAAAAAAGAAGCATATGTCAACGAGGATGAGGAGATTACAAGAGGTTTATTATTATTATTATTATTATTATTATTATTATTATTGGGGAAATTCACATTTTGAGTCGGCGCAGTAACTTCTGGATACATGAACTGTTTGTAAATAAAAGGCCTAAAACTTACAGTACTTAACTTCAGTGGAGCACGCCCGTGCACGACACGGAAGATTTTTGTTTGAGTGGATCAATTACAAATTCTAGAAACATTAAATTAACGAACAAAGTATTAAATAAAGTTTCCTCATCCCTAATCAGTGAAGACTTTTTATAGGTAGTTTCTCTACATATAAGTTAATATTTAACTTAAAAAACTAAATAAAGTTAAATATTTATTTGAAATTTTAAGTTGATATTTTTAACTTATAAGTAATAATTATAAGAGTCTACTTGATTTGGATTAAAATTCAATTTTAGTCTAAGTCAATATCAAACAATCAATATTAATAACATCTTTCGTGAATCCCACAAATTTTTAACTACATATTTCAAAAACTTCTATCAAAATCTACTAAAATATCTAATTTTAATCCCCACCAAATCCCCTCTAAGTTACTTTCACACTTTTAAGGTATTTTAAGTGAATTTTTTTACTTATAAGTAACTTTTTATATTTTATAAGTAAATTTTTGTCTTCTTAGTAGTATTTTTATTTTACAAACAAACTTTTTTGCATAAAAGTGATTTTTTACTTATAAGTAATTTTATATTTTTAATGTATATTTTCTTATCATTTTCACTTTAGAAAGTGAATGCTACTAATTTTGTGAAGAACGTATGTAATACTGGATATCATGTTGTCAAATACACTATTACGGACTTTTTGAACAAAAGACATAGAAGTAAGATTGAGCTTCTTTTTCTTGTTGCCAAAGTGTAATAGTGATGATTGATCGATATCATTTAACATCTTCAAAATCGAGTAGACCATGTTGGAGTACTTAAAATTTTTTACATTAGGGTAACATGATTTAAGTTAGGAGAAATTTCTTATGGATCAAACAATTTTTGTCAAATAGAGGTGAATATGATGTAGAAAAACACTTCTCTCGACCCATAGTTATCTTAAATGATCTAATGAAATCAATATAGGGTGATTTACAATTTCGAATTACATTCTGTTTTTTAGGTTGAACTATAAATCTAATTATATTTTTTAATATAATTATTTATCCTGTGGAAATTTGTATAATAAATTTTGACTAATTGAAGTTAGACAATCGTACAAACTTGAGATTTGCTCGGCATACTCTATTTTTATTAGTAAACTCCAGATTTGCCCAACAAACTTCATATTTAGGTCCCGTTTGAACCACATTCTTTCAAAAAATATATTTTTAAACAGTGATGTAACATTATTTCAACCATACACGTAACCACATATTTTCCATCAATTCACTATTCAAAAATACATTTTTATGAAAATAGTGTGGCTCAAACAAGGCCTTAATTTACTAACTCGTCAGATGTTTATAAAATTCAATATTTGCCTTGTGAAAACTCGTCATTTCATCCGTCAAATATGAGAATACGTTCAATAGTCAGTTGAAAATTTCTTTAGATGATGCAGATAATTTGAAATGTAGAATTTCATTGTATTTCATTTTGCACAGCATAATTTTCTTTGCAACAGTGATTCGAATTTTATTGGCTAAAATGCACTACTATTAATCTGCTATTTAAGAGATTCCCGATCATTATCAGCTGGGGCAAATAGTAAACAAAATTCTTTGTAATTTTTTATCTCGTAAATAAGTGTCCAAAACCCACCATTATCACATAGGCAAATAGTAAATAAAATGCATAATCATAATCCAAATTCTACGAAATTCAACGAAGGCAGAATAATAGATTTGCTCCATGAAAAAGATTGCTATAATTTGTTCTACCAAACATATTGCTGGCTAGATGACAAAGGCATAGTCACAGTTTACTATGAAGCACATCCTAGAATCAAATCCAAAACAGTAATCAAAAGTATATTATGGAATGTTAGTACTAGGTATATGCACTAAGGCGTTGCTGACCAACAATTCATTGATGGTGAAGTGGATTTGATGATGGTTACATCTAGTGATGGCAACGGGGCAGGGCGCCCCCCACCCCGTGCCGCTCCGTTTGGCCCGAGACGGGGTAACTTTTTGCCCCGTTTTATTTATTTTATTTTTTTACATTTTCGAAATTTCGAATTATGTTATTATTAGAGAATAAAATACAAATTCAAAATAAGTTTTTAACGGATGAATTGTTTAGAATTAAAATTATTTTTAAATTATTATTATTTTTTTCTTCGGGCGGGTTTGGGACGGGGCGAGGAGGGCGGGTTTTCGGAGCAGGGCGCCGTCGGGATGGGGCGAGATAAAACGTCTTTTTTTGTGGGAAAAGTGTATTCCATTTACAAATCTCAATTTGTTTCCCAAAAATTTATAGGGTAGTATAAATTTCTTCTTGTGGTTTTGAAATTTTCAAAAAAAAATTCCAAAATTTTGAGTACAATTGTGAGATGATTGGCAGTCAGATTTTTTTCTACTTTTTTTTACATCTTTTTTAGGTTGTCAACTCAAGAACGTGTAAAGTATTTAATTTTTCTAGAGGGGCATAAATGTCAAAAATTGACAATTTTGCAAAATTTTTGAAAAAGTGACATTTTTAGAAAGGGTAATTATATTATCACTACAAAATTTATTGGAGAGTGCTAGATGTACACACACTTTTGTACAAAATAATTTATTTACACTCACATTAGGAGGGTGGGGGGCCACATGTTGGTACTTTTTAGTTTTTATTTCATGTGGAGTCCAAGTGTAAATGAAAGTGAGTAAAATATTTTATACAAATGTGTGAGTTCAAATATCTTTATCCAATTTTATTAAGTATACCACATTTTTCTTATTTACTAAAATATCGTTAAGTAAAATTACATAATTAGGATTTTAATATACTTTTTAATTAAATAAATTATTGTTACACCGCAAATATAAAACATAATTTCTTTCTTTTTATCTCCTCCACATCTCATTGTTCATAGTTTTTCCCGTGACTTTTGCCTTTTTTCATGGCAGCAAGATAATTTTCTTTTCCTCACAGTAAATGAATTTATACTATATTTGACCACGATTTTTAGATATATTTTTTTTTCAATTTATTTGTCAAGTTTGAAAGTTAAAAATCTGATTTTTTTTTGCTAAGTCGAACAGATTTATTATAAATTTAAAACAAGTTTGTAAGATTGTGATTTTTAATTGTTGAATGGATTTATGAATTTACGTGTATATACTCATCATAATTCCATGAATAAGGTGCATTCATTACGTGAGACATACCCAATTCTGGCACCAGCACCCTCGCTTTTGTGGCTCGGGTGTCCGCCTTTTTATTCGGACTCTGTTTACAGAAACATGAAGCATAAGATTCTTAAGGATGAGGCCAACTCTCATAAGAAAGCTGAAGCCAAACACATCATTGAAGAAAAAAATTATGGTGTTTTTGTTGTCTGATAGAAATAATAATTGAAAAAAAAAAAAAATGGCGTTTCCTTCTGGCCTATGCACAGGACCATATTTTTTTTTTATTTGTTACTGCAACTTTGTTGAGAATTGTGACATCACGCCTTCGAATCAATTCTCTCATGAATTAAACTACTTGTATATTTTGTGTCCAAAAAAATAAAAAAATTACACCACAATATTGTATTATTTTTTTTCAATTTTTTATTTTTATTGAATTAGGATTATAATCGTAAATTTATTATGGTGTATTTTTTAAAAATATATTTTAATTGTGGTGTGATTATAATGTGGTGTAGTAATTAAAATTTGTAATGGTAATATAATTACTCTTTTAAAAATGTAAAGCCAAAAATTGACAATTAGTAGTGCAATTTTCTTAAAAATAATAATAATAAAAATAATAAAGAACATGAACGCATGTACTACAAACAATACGTTCCCTAAACCTCTTCCTCTCCCATTTGCTTCCATGCAAATGAATGGTAATTCGACCTGAGCTTCATCGGCATCCACCATGCAATAATAGAAAATATATAGTGCGCATCCCCTCTGCAATATCGGACAGAACTAGAACTCGACAGTATATACTATTCAATACTGTCTAATCTAACATGACGGAACCACTGAAAAAGGAATTCCATTAATATCAAGTCAGTGCAGCGTATCCACCGCCTCTCATCATTTGCTTGAACTCGTGAAAATCCACCATACCATCACCATCGACATCCACCTTCTTTATCATCTTCTTGCAATCCTCAGTGGTTCTCCCTTGATTGAGCCCCAGTGATGCCAAGACCGACTTCAGCTCATCAACGGTGATAAACCCATCACCGTTTTGATCAAAAACATTGAACGCCTCTCGCATGTCCTCTTCCTCATCGCGCTCGTCCATGATGGTTTGGTACAGTACACCAAATTCATCAATGTCGACGCATCCATCTCCATTTACGTCGATTTTTTCTATCATCTGAGTCAACTCAGGGTCCGGGATAAAGATTCCCATCTTCTCTAAGGAATCGTTAAGCTCCTTTTTCGTGATCCTACCATCTCCATTTCTATCAAACATTTGAAAAACACGCATCAGCTCGTTGGTGTCCATTGAGGATGGCAAGACAGGAGAACTAAAGGGGTTATTTTCTTTTGATATTTTGATGTTGTAGGTGGGGTGGGTGAGTGGGGTGGCTTCTCTAGAACAAGTATGCAAGGAAAATCCTCAACAAAGTTGTGGGCAATGAAGGTTTGGTATTTGAACAAAATTTGCGAAGAAACTTGGAAATGTTGGTGCTAAATAAAGGAAGGACAATCAAGAAGAGAGAGAGAGAGAGAGAGAGAGAGAGAGAGAGAGAGAGAGAGAGAGAGAATTTTTGGGGTTAGTCAAAGAAGGATCCGATCACGGAAAATGTGTGGGATTTCTTTCTATGAAGCTTGCTACACGTACCTACTCACATGGGGTTGGGGTCCCACGCCTATAAATGTGTGGGGGTCCTCTCCCTCACTCACATCGGGTAACCTAACATGTCACACGTTGGGTACAAATGAAAATCTCCTTCTTTCTATAGCTATCATGAAGTAGTTAACTTGGATCCGTAAGCATACGCGTTCCTTGGAGTTAAAGAAGATGGAGGAGTAAGAGTAAAGTAATGGGATTTTTTTTATTTTTTTACCAGAGTCAAACACAGATTGATCTAGTATAGCAATCTAAACTTGATTGGCAGTCGGATAACTAGTTTCCCGATTGTCCGAGTTCTAAAACATTAATTTAGATATTAGATTTCTTGATAAATATTGCTCTTTACTAAACAATTTTACCTTTTCAATCACACATAATGTACATGTCAAAATAGGCTTTTCCGTAAAGTATAAATATGCCACCAACAATGTTATATAAATTAGAGACATGGGTACCACAAATGGAATATCGGGACATGGCTGCCGTACATATTAATAGTTGGGAACCTTGTTGTAACTTAATCATTTAATAAAAAGAAAAAGAGTGTTCTCTAACCGCGTTCTAATAGTTTTGCATTTAATGGGTCGTTTTGCAATTTAATTTATAATTAAAAGGTTGTAAATAATGAATTATGGTGGGGCCATTTTGCAATTAAAAAAAGTTAATTGGAGAAAGGAAAGAAAAATGACCGTTGATAATGGAAAGTATATATGGAAAACTGGAGAGAGCCGTTGGGAAATGAGAACGTTGTGAAAAAAGGCCGGCCGAGAGTGATCCGAACGCGTGATTGGTGGGATGTTGACATCTGAGCAGGTTGGCACCGGATTGTGTTGATTTATTGGGTTGGAATTATTATCAACGAACTTGGTTGGTATGGTTGGAGAGTAGTCGTGTAAGTTTGCACGTTTACGTTTGGCAGAGTCAGGTGGGAAAAAAATTTAATAATTCTTGATATATATACAAAAATGATTTCCTAAGTATTGGTTACATGACACACCATTTAATTGGTGAATCATTAAATTCATAAGACATATCATTAACTTTTAAGTATCGATATTTAGTTTATGTTAAGTAAGGGGATATGACACATCAAATAATTTGTGAATCTTTAAATTTATGAAATCTACCATTAACAATTCATCAATGATTTGATATGTCATATTATCTTTACTTAACATAAGATAATCATTGATACATAAAAAATCATTACTGTATATATATAATTTAGCTTACAAAAGTAATTGTGCCTTTAGCCCAGAGCTGCTCCCACTCCCGTGGTTGAGAGTCATGATAGGCCTTTTATAATTTTGAATTTTTTTTTTTCCATGAGATATAACAAATTAGTGAGGTTTGATTCTTTGAGATGCATGACTTAACAAATTGCTCTATTGAATTTAGATAAAAATCAGATTTTAAGTAAATTTTCATAAAAATGTGTGATTAAATTTATTGTCAACTTTGACTTAAATTTAATTTAATTTTTTACTAAACCAAACAAGGACATTGTCTAAAATATGATTCACCATGTTAAAGTTTTTAACATTTATTCGTTGTCACATTTATGTCTTTACTTTTTTTTTTCAGTTTTTTTTGTTTCATTATTAACCAGCAAATCTTGTCCATATATTTCAATTGTGGGAAACATATTTGTTGGCACTCAACATGTCTTTGAGAAAGAAGTCAAATTAATCTTGAGCGCAAAAAAGAACACAAGATTCATAGGCAAAGAAGAAGGGAGAAGGAATAGATTCTTCAATTGCGCTAGGTGTACAGGGGTTGGGTTCACAGGGGAGTTACAAGGTGAGATGGTCAGCAATTAAAAAATGAAGGAAAATTCTAAGTTTACAGCAGATAGTTTGACAGCTTTCTCACACCGGTGGATTTCATGATTATTTTGATCGTGACCTCCTAATCTCGGGACCCAACCCTCCATGTGAGTAGGCTGTCAAAGAAGGTGTACAAAGTGCTTTACACTTAGCACGTTTAAAAAGAAAATAAAAACGGAAGAAATAACAAAAAGAAAACCGCACGCCCTTATTAGCTCATCTCCTCCAATATCGAAACCCTTCGACGCCCTCACTTGTAGCCGATTTCGCGTTCACACTACTCACCATCTCCAGCCACCGTCAAATTGCTAAACCGCAAATCTCTCCATCTCTTTAGCCCTAAAAGAAAATTAGACTTCGCAAGCAATCCTTAAGCATTTCTCCAGCTTCGGAAAACAGCGAAACATATTTCTGCTAACCGCGAATGTGAAATCAGATGTGGAAACCAGAAAGCTAAGCATGTTCCCTCTTAATTGTTACCATGTTACAAGATAAATAAGACAAGCACTGATTTGGTTGCTGTCTACATTTGGCATGAATCTTCAGAAGGGATGAAAATCAATAGTTGAACATAAATAAACAAGGGGCCGCCTTTATTCGTAACTGAAAACGTTATCATATATTGGCTACTAAAAACAAAACATTGTCCATAAAAAGGCATCTAGACATTGAAATGTTCTAATAAACAAAAGCAAATGCTCCTGCTTCATAAAATTAATACCATAGTTGTAGTCGTTACTATTGGAAAAATAATTAATTGTAGTAGTGATCAGAACAATATAATGCAGAAATATAAAACTTATCGTCCAAATGAGTCTCGTGACAACACGATATCCTAAAGTGAAATTGCTCGTCGATAATTGCTGCGACCTTCGTGAACAATCACTCCCAGAATACAACGATCGTAAACCACTTGTGCAGCAATCACAAATGATTTTTCTAGAACTCTCAATTGTACTCCAAAATATATGTAAAAACCCGATTATTTAGAATATGAAAAGGAGGATTGATGCAAGATGTTTTTATGTGTGTTTTTCCCCAAAACGAGATATGAGTTTATATAGGCAAGATGGAAGTAACAGTCTCCACCATGATCATAGAGTAATGCAGAATTTTAATGACTGAGTAGTGGGTTGTTACAAAAACAAACGGTTAGAAAATACTAGCTAATTTTACCCACTAAACAATAAAAGAAAATTTATTTTAGTCAAGGAAGCCCAAGAGTCCAAGGCCCCCCAAGGTCCTAATCAAGATATTTTAATATTTGCGTAGGGAGTGACTCGAAACCCTGACGTCCCACACAAATGCCACATTTTCCACCACTTTTGCACTTTATCTAATTTGATGTTATTTCTTTCACATTATATTTATACCAGAAATATATAACAGTTACTTGCCCAGCCATTTACTAGGGGTGGGGTTTTTGCCTTCAGTTGTGATGATGCTTTCTCCATGACTTTCATCTTCCTGCATTCCAGTAACACAAAGAATGTTACAAACCACAATCAGCTCACACATGTGAATAGAACAAGCATTTTTTAATGAGAACATTAGTGAAAACAGAAATCAGCTCACATATTATCATGAATAGCATGTTTATTCACAAATCCTTCAATACCCATTTCTTGTAAAGCAGCAGATAATCAAAAATAAATAATACAGAACTCTAAATTAAACGTGAATGGTGTGTCTCACATGGGGAAGTCGTGACAGGACAATGTTTTTCATGTTGGAAAGTGCCCGAAGGTGGAAGCTATATGGCCGGTCAGTTTAGATTATAACCCTGAAGACGTCGGAGCTGATTGATTTTCACCGAAAGTCGCCGAATCTGAGAGAGTATAGTATTCGGGATATCCAATTTGGGGAAAAATGCAGGAAGTTGCTGGAGCTGAGAGAAACTAATTCGGGAATCTCCATTGAACCATGCTAGCCTTACAGAACCAAGCTGCTGCCAAGTACACACATTCGTTGGGCCCGCGTGAATATATATATGTTATTATTTTTTTTAATGCATGTGGGGCCCCTGCACAGTGAGGAGCCCTGTAAGTAACCTGTGAGAAATGTCCTGTACATTGGGCATTTCTCATCTCGAGTTTTGGGGAAAAAATCAATTCTCGTGCGGGCAAATGTCGGGAAAGTGTTTTTCCCACCTTTATTCTCTTTTGTGTTAAATCATTTGCCACTTACCTAAATCAAATTGTACATGTGAATGAGATTGTACATATGAATTATTTTATTTGTACAATGTTTTGTACAATTTTGTTGAAAGGAGGCCATTCTAGCGTGGTTTCTGTAGACTGTAATATAGCTTTATTCTAGATTCTTAGGGCGTCAAGATATTGATTTTGAGACTTGAAGTATATATGAATTAATTGTATGTAATAAATGATGCAATGATTTTTGTCAATTACTAGTCTGAAATACGTGTGATATACATGGATTTAGGAGTACAGTATTATATAAAATGACTCAGTGTTTTATAAAATGCATGACATGGCACATTTTAACCGATAAAATTGTGCTAGTTCAACTGATAAAATAGATAATCAAGTCAAAATTCGGGTGGGTTATCTATCAAAAGCTACTTGTTTAAAAGCCACTTAAAACCATCCTACTAAACGGTTCAACTGCAGCTCGATGAATCAGACAAGATTTTAGCAATTATTAAGGTTTACCATCAATCCTGCATTTTAAATCTCATTTAGATAAATCCCATACTTTTGATAAGAGTCAAGGTTAGAGAGAGATGCTCTCAACTCTAGTGAGAGAAAATCCCATTTGAGTGCCTTGGCTTCTTGAGATTCTTCTTGTGTTTTGATTTAATTTTTACTTCCTTTTTGTGGAAATTGAATTTAAACATATTGCATATTACTTGGTCTTAATTTATTCTCGTTTTGGAAGGCATACCGATTCGATTTTATTCAGATTTGCTAAGGTTGAAAAGTGTCAGTTGGTTTCATTAGCTCAGTTTGGTGTTTCCAAACGGTACGGGGATTCTTATTTTGGCCTGAGTGTTTTCTGGTCATCCATCCTTCAGATTGTGGTTCAGCCAGGTTCT